CATCTAAAACGTTTTCCTCCCCTCTGCATAACTGACTAGTTCTTGTGAGACACTTGCACATTTTTTAAAAGATTTTATTTATTTATCTTTAGAGAGGAAGGGAAGGAGAGAGAGAGAGAAACATCAATGTGTGGTTGCCTCTCGTGAGTCCCCTGCTGGGAACTGGCCTGCAACCCAGGCATGTGCCCTGACTGGGAATCGAACTGCAATTCCTTTGGTTTGCAGGCCCGAGCTCAGTCCATTGAGACACACCAGCCAGGGTGCACTTGCATGTTTTTTGAAGGACCAATATTTCATAACTGATTTACCTCTGTCATCACACACACACACACACACACACACACACACTTTTAAATTTAAGCAATTCACAGACAATGTGGAATAATCCTGGAAAATCTTATATTAAATCTTCTGGAAAATATATACTGGAAGCAATTGAATGGCACAAGGGGAGGGAGATGCCTCCAATGACACAGGGAGGACTGTGTCCCCCTCGGTACCACAGACTCTGCCGACCAGACCAGGTATCCTCTGGGCTATTGGAAAAGGAATTTTCTTAATACTAGGCAAGAAGATAAATGTAAAACACAGGCCAAAAGATGAATAAATCAAGATAATGTGCTGTAGGTCCCATATTTTACATGAAAATCAAATACTAGGCTATCATTGCCCATAATAATATTACTAAACATAAAAATGCATCATTTTAAGTCCTAAAGTTAGCAAAGTATTAACATTTTTCTTTAGAAAATAACGACTTCAATAAATTCAGATAATTAACATTTGATTTCATGTATAATTTTGTCAGTTAAAACAGCCATATAGGGTCAAGTTTAGTCCTTTATCTTGTAGTTCATCATCATTTTTCTCCAATTGCTGAGAAAAGTATGCGCATACAGAATATGAATCCCTGTACATAATATAGAGGCAAAGAGCCACGGAGGGAAATAAAAGAGTTGCCAACACCCACATGAAAGATACATTTATACAAGGCCACAGAGACAGCTCCCTCTCACCTTCTCCACCAAATGATCAGTGTCTCCAGTCTTAACAGAAAGTTATTCCTGTTACCGAGTTAAAGATGAACACCATCTGCCAATTTACACAATCACATTGAATGGCCTTGGGATTTAAATTTAACGAACTGCTAAAATATTCATGCTAAGATTTTCCTAGTCCATAACCTCTTTTATGTCTAATCTGATACCAAATGTTCTGTAAAAGGAGACATCACCATCATTTGGAATATAGATTTATATTCTCAGATTCATTATTGGCAACTGCTGTAGTTATTGTTGGCATCCTGAGAGATGGTAGCAGCAGTAAACTTTTCATGAAGCAGAAATCATATGGATTCTGCTCCACGGGTTTATTTTTTCTCACACAGACTAACTGTAGACAGTTGTGTACACTGTCCACTTCTACAGGCTTCAGCAGGTGCATAGAGCGTGGCTTTTTGGCAGAGAGAAGAATTTTGCTTCTGAGGATCACCCTGTTGACTAGAGGACCTTATCTTTAAGTGTTACTCACAGTGGTCTCTATATTATTATGACGGAGAAAGGCAATCATGTTTTAACCCAAACTATGTTAAAGACAATCCCTCTGTACTCAAGACTTTGCCTGCAGATAGCCCAAGAACTCCAGTTTATAAATTTATAAAACTGATTCTTTTCTTATATTACAAATGTGCTTTTTGGATTTCTATCCACAAAGGTATGAGAGAACTTTTCGTCAAAATGTTGAACAGGAAAAAACTTGCCTTTAAAAAACTAGTTCATTATTTTTATTGGATGTTTGTGACTGCTGTTAACTCTATATACAAATATAATAATCCTAAATACAATTAAAGGTAATTTTGGAATTTTGACCTACTTTAATGTTATTACCAAGAAAGCACTTTTGTAAATAGAATTTGAGAAATGGTCATTTCAGAAAGTTTAGATAGGTTGCCTAGATACCACGTAATTTGGGTTATGATATTTAAATATACTTGGGTTCTATAGAATTAAATGAATAATATGAGTATGATGTGAAAAACTCAGAGACGATTTTGCAAATATTCCCAGTAACTGATGAAAAATTCACTTTTTAATAGCCATCACTGATACCAGCCAACATGCTATCTTTTAACAGTTACGGTTGTCTCCATTAACTGTTTCTGAGAAACAAACCATCCCCAAACACTTTTTGTGGAGCTCAGGATTCTGTGGATTTGACTGTTTTTAGTTTCTTCTTTATGTTCTTGTTTTGTTTTTTGTCTTTGTCAGGGTCTTATGATCAATTTTCTACCTACTACAATGCTTCTGAGATATTTAAATATGGCTTCGATTATAAAAAGTAAGCCAGCTAAATCTTGACCTATCCTATATTTAGTATCATCTCTAATTTATAGAGCTCCTAGCATTCTTCGTTTACGTGCCCGTATCTGAATTGCATCCCAGCACCTGGACAGCAAAACCTGCTCTGTTTGCCGTCTTTCTCTGTCCTATAGTGCCAAGCTTGGCACATAGTAGCTTCCAAAAAAAGAAAAAATATGTCTTACTGCTTTATCAATATAACATCATTATATTCAATCTCCATATTGCAGATGTTTTCCATCTTTCAAATATTAAAGAATTTTAGTGTAATTAATTAACACATGGTAACAGTTAATAATTTGAAGCAAAATATTCTAAAGATACAATTTGTTATTCTGAAGATTAATTCCAAAACAACCTATAGTGCCTTACTGATATATTTAGCTTGCTAAATTATCAGAAGCAATAAATACTTGATCAAAATAAAAGTTCACCATGCAGACTCAAAATCATTCAGAAAATATTTATACAAAAATAGCCATTTGACCTTTTCTACTTAATTTTATATTCTGAAGTTCAAGTTTTGTCGAAGTGAAGTTTAGGAAATGACTATTGTTGAGAAGAAATGAAACGGAGGGTTTCATTGCTGGCATGCGGTAAATTCTAGAGAAGCAGACATTCCAATTTTATTTAATCCTGGTTCATTTTCTAATCATGTGAAGTGCACCACACTTGTCTTCCTGTTGGGGACATAGGGATCTTAAGGAAAAACATTTGTTTTTTCCTAAATTTTTCTTATAATTCCTTCTTTTAAGTCACTTGGAACAATACTTCACAGATAATAGACTCTCTAGACATCCACTGTGTTAATCGTATACAGAGGAAGACAAAGCAAACACAGGGAGATCCACTCCTGGTTTGTGAATATCCTAAGAAGTACAGGCACAAAACAGTGTGACTCCTTTAAACAAAACCTAAGAAGAATGAATAAACTTGACGCAACATTTATCGCTGCATGTATTTATTGAAGTTTGGCCTCTTTTATAATAACATTTAAATTGTGCCATATATCTTCATTAATCCTTTGGTGGTGACTAAAAAAAGGATTTGTGAAATTAATCCAAGCCAAATCAAAGCAAACATTGCAGAGAACGTGATATACGAGGGCTGACCAGAAAGAATCCAGCCATGTAATAGGGGAAATGGAGACATTTATTGAAGAAGATATAAGATACAAGAAACATTATACATAAGAAAATGAAGCCTCAGTCCCATTCCAAGCAGGCACCTTGGGACCTTACACCAATCACAATCAACTACCCTGTCATATTTTCCTGAATCTCGTCAACAGTCTGAAATCTCTTCCCTTTCAAAGGTGATTTTAGTTTTGGGAAAAGTCAGAAGTTGCAGGGCACCAAATCTGGGCTGTAGGGGGTCCAATTCACCTGGGTGATTTGATGTTTCAACAAAAAGTTCTGCAATAATGTGATGCATGTGCAGGTATGTTGTAGTAATGTAGCTGCCTATCACCAGTTTGTCTATAGCTGTGGCCTTCTGAATCACCTGAGTAGTTTTCAGGAGGAATGTTCAAGCTTAACACAAATTTGATGCAGATTGGTTGCTCTACTCACCCAGTCATTTTAAATGCAATGACCACAGAGTACACATGCTCACTTAATGACGTCTACCACCACCACTGACTAGTACAGTGAAGTCATCATTGTTCACCCGTGTGCAGTCCAGTCCACTCTCCTTGGCTGCCAGGTTACACTGACATTGTGCAAACTGTTCTCATTATATTAACAATGGTTGGACTTTTTCCAGACAGACCTCATATTCACAAGTATGATTATTAACCATGTAGTGACAATAAAAGTTTTCATCCCTTGTATTAAACTGAAAATTTTACAAAGGCATTCCTATTTTAAGCAATAAAAAACAAACAAACAAAGCAATGAGTTTGAACTGAGCCAGGATTTGTGCTGGAACACTTCAAAAGGGTGTTAGACAACCTCAGATGCTTTGAAGAGTCTGATTTTGAGAGATGGTGTGATTGTTCAAGCAAGGATGTTTTTAAAACTGAAAATTATCCTGGTTATTCAAGATAAGTCTACTGTTAATGAACTAGTTAGTTTCAGTGAGGTATTATCAGCCTCCAGGTTGTTATAAAAACCTGCTACCTAGTCAGCTGTCACTGTGCTCTGGATACTTTCACATGGTTATCTCAGGCAGTCAGCAAAGAATTTTGTCAAGCAGACAATGTGATTCTTATTTTATAGACAGGTAAAACAAGGCTAAGAGAGTTTAACCTGCTCAAGTTAACAAAATTAGTAAGTAAAGGAACTGCAATTCAAAGCTTAATCCATTTGATATGAAAACTCATATATTCATTAAACCATGCTGCCTTTCAAAAAACGTGAAAAATGGTGAAATAATAGAAAAATTATTTCATTGACTTTAAGTTCCTTCCATAAACAAGATATTACTAAATAATTTTATATTTCAGATTTTTAAAAATTCTGGTGTGTAATAAAAATAATGTAATATCTACACATTACTTTTGAATTTTGCATCCTCAGACATGTCTATTAAACTGTGTGTCCTCTTACACTCTCCAGCACAATGTAGATTACAGTTGAAAAATTAAAAGTTTTCAGGAGTTTTGGCCTTCAAGTGGCTTGTTGCTAGTTCAATTTACATTACCTTTGGCAATCTTCTCTTGGATTCAGAATTATCTTTGGGAACAAAATCTTTAATGAGCCGAGAACGGTCATAATTAGCATGTTCTGATTCATCCAAGTAATCCTTATCTTTTCCTAGGGCTACAAAAGAGAAGAAGATAATTATATCCATTTTTATCCTTTTAAGAATTTGTCTCTTTACATGTACTAATCTTGCCTTTTTTCATATTTTCCTAGTGCTCAGCCAAGTATAATTATCTTATGACCCATCCACCTAGTAAGCCAAAAAAATTAATAGCATGAAAGCTTGTCTGTTAGTGGATTAATACTGACACTAGAGTAACTTTCGTAAAAATTAAATGCATCTCGGGTATTTAACATACTTACACTTTTTGAAAGTAAAATTAGAATTAGGCACATTTTACTGGACACCACCGTTTTGAACTTGAAGTTAGAGATATTTGTAAAAATTCAGTATCAGGAGATAGTTCATACAAATATAGATATTTGTATGAATTCAATAATTTCTGAGCATTTATTTGATGAATTAAAAGCTGTGTACATTTGAGAATTGCTAGAATACATTACAAGAAAGATTTCACAAAATAATGAACAAGCTATAATCAATGTCAAAGAGTATAATGCACAAAATCTCTATGGTGGCTATAAGAACCGTTGACACACTTCAAAAATTTATATTCCCTATGATTCAAATATTGCTTCAAATTAAAAAACAGATTCATATATGTTTAAACTTTTCCAAGTAAATAAATAAAACTATTATGAAGACAGTTATTTTTAAAAACTGTTAATAAACTACTAAACACAAATTCTGACATGGACAACTATATATAATGCTTTAAAGAGCTCAATAATTTGACATAAGATTGTGACAGAAAAAAAGACAATCTTGATTATAAAACATATATTAATATCTTTATTAGTAAAGCTTAAAATCTGCTGTATGTGTTATGCCATATAAAGCTAGTAATATCAGGTTCTTAGCACTGGAATGAACTAAGATTGGACAGGTCACACCATATTTTAGGAAAAAATTAATTACTAATTATGTTAAAGTGCTCTAAGCATTTAGGGCTGAACCTTTACCTGTTAATATAGCTAACACTGATCAATGGCTAACATTTACTGAGTACATACCAAGAGCCAGAAGCTTTATGTACATTATTTTCTTCAATCCTTACAACTCTGCAAAGTGGGTATAATTTTTGGAGAATAGTAACCCAACCCTCCACTGTTTTGACATTGTTTCTGGAAGTGCTGATTCTGACTAACATTTGGCTTGTAGATGAATAGAATGTTTATGTGAGAATCCTAGTAACTAACTTCAAAAGTCACAGATTCCGATATTCAGATATTCATTCCTGCGAGATCTGAGAGATTTGCTGACTTTCAACGGGAAAACCAGGATGACAAAAACCAGACGATGCACACAAGACTGTCACGTGACCACCTTTGAGGTCCTTATCAGAATGGACTATACCGGTCTTCACTTAGAAAACTTTTCAACCCCCTTCTCCTGATCCCACTGTTCTGCCTCTCCTCTCCCTCCTTATAAAAACCCATGCCTGTGCTAGGATGGCCTTTAAGACATGAGTCCCCCATCTTTTCAGGTGACCGGATACTTAAATCAATCTTTTTAATTTAGAATAGCATCTGTCTCACGTGCACTGGCTTTCAAAATGGCAGGCAGCTGGACCTGCATTTGGTTACATTTTTTTTACCTATATTTAATAGTAAATGAAGATATATGCAAATTAAGTAGCATGCCAAAGTCACTAAATCAGCAGGGGGTGCATTTCGACTTGAAACATATCAAGATCTGACTTCAAAGCTGATGTTTGTTTGTAAACTCTAATGTTTCCCCTAGATTTAGGTAAATTACATTTCATTCAGCCAATAATTATTTATTAAACACTTATGACATGCGAGGCATTCTTTTATGAATTGGAGTTCTAGCAGCAAACATGAAACATCCAAGTAAGAGCAAAAAAAAACAATGTAGTAAATTAAGTGAAATATTAAGTATGCTTTGCCATCAGTGCATTGGAGAAAAATATAGCATGGGGAAAGGTGTCGGTACAAAAGGTGAAAAATGTTGTTATAGTACAGAGAATTGTAGTAACTTCTGAGCAAAGGCCAGATAGGATACAGCAGTAAGGAGTGTGGTGTAGCAGAATGAGAATTAATATTGGTTTTAGGCAACCTGAGTCAAAATCCTGGTTACGTCATTTATTAGCCTAATGGCAGTGGGTCATCTATAGTTTATTAATCTGAAAATTGTAAATATTACATCCTGTCATTCCAAGGAGTAAGAAGGACAATACATGTAACTTGAAAACATTAGGTACTGAAGAAATATATATTCCTTTTCTGTGGCCTTTCCCTAAATTCACGATTCTAGTGTTTAGGAATCTACCAAGTAAAATATGTAAGTATGACTAATAAAAAAGACATCTTCCATTTTAAAGCCTAAGAGGGTAGGACACAAAGTGATTACCTTCTGTATACCAAGAAACAATTTAAAATTTCATTATAAATCCCTTTAATGTTCATCAATAATATGATTTATGATGAAAACTTGATTTGAGTGGGAATCCATTAGGTCTTCTAAATTTTGTTTGTGAACCAGCATCAGCTCACAGCTCAAGGGACCAATCAGTATAGCAGGCCATTATGTTTGCAACATAAAACTTAGGCCCATCTCTGGAAGTGTAATTTTAATAGCCAAATTATTACAGCTCAGTCAGTCTTCTTTAGTACAGTGCCATTTATTTCATTACTTCGTTACATTACATTATAACTGCTGAAGCATCTGGAAATGGATGAGGTAACTTTTGGGCCATGTTAAATATGCATGAGTGACCTTATTAGTTGGCCTCCATTTACTCACAATTCTGCAACCTTCTTGTTGCTATTGACAGTGTGTTCCAGAGCTGCCAGAGTAGTTGAGGCTGAAGATTAAAATAATAATCATAATGGCTTAAGACTATGGTCATAGTTTATAATTTATATATTACCTCCAACATATATTCTCTTATTTGCATCTAACAAAACATCCTAATTCAGTTCTGCTCAAATAAGTTTTACTTACATTATAATAAGAAATTAAAACACATTGTTGATATCACAAGTCAGGAAACTGAGGCACAGACAGTATGTAGTTAGTAATAGAGCTAGTACCTGAAACTGTATCTTTGGACTGCTAATACATTCCATAATGTTTAAAGTTATTATTTCACCAAAGTTTCCTGTAAGAAATAATTCTAATGGTCCATTCATGGATTACTCAGTGGTTAAAATGTGATAATGAAGATGCAGGTTTATTCTTTATAGTTCCTTTGTTGCCAACGTCTCCCTAACCCTGTCATTGTTCTAAAGTCCTGACACTAGCCAGTCACAGAGAGGAGGTGAACTCGGTAAACCCCACCACTAAAGAAATCCTGCAGATAAACTGCTTTCCACTGTGTCGCTGTTTAAATCTATCCACCTGCATCCTTCCAAACATTCACCCAGTCATCATTCTCCAGCTACCCTTGAATAGATAGTATCTATTAGGCAATATGAATGAGACAGACAGGAAGAGAACTTACTATCACTTACTGAACTGAATGTAAATAAAGTCATATCCAAAGTGCTATGATAACAGAAAGGAGGAAACATCTCAAGGACTTTGAGTATTAGGAAGGATTCAAGTAACAGCAATGTTAAAAAAAGTATTCTTCTACTTCTTAACAGTGATGATTATTGAGTCTTTAAATGCTCTACAAACAGGATTTTTCCACACAATTTAAGTGAAAATAAGAAACATAATCAAATTAGGTCCTGAGTGAGAAAAATAAGAAAGTACTGATTCCTAACAGGTGAGAAAATTCACAGTGATGAATAACATCACAGATCTCAAGGTAATGAATCCTGTAGCAGACTCTCCAAAGGTATGTGTGCCAGTGTCCTCTTTGTCTTTCACCCATTCATCTGGCCTTCCACTGATCCTAAAATATCCTTTCAGTACCTACTACATGCCAAGTACTGTTCTTGATTCTGGGCTATAGGCATCAATGAGACTGACAAAGTCTCTGTCCTCTGGACACAGACAGGGGGAAAAATAAATTGTGTCATTTCAATAAGTCACATGATGATACATATTATGAGTAAAAATAAATCAAGATTAGGAGACACAAAGTCAAGCTTGTATGAGTTTTCTATCAGCATGGGTCCCTGGGATCAGAGAAAACATATTCTGAACAAGGAACAAAACAATTTGGATTGGCTGCAATATTCTAAGTAAAAGGAAGCATTGGGAAATGGCCCACAGGGGCCAGGCCCAGGTGTCTTGTAAGATCTCAGAAGCCACAGTAAGTTTACATGCAATGAGAAATATGGAGGGATCTGAGTAGAGAAACCATGTACTTAATTTTCCTTTTACTAAAGCTTCCTGTAACTACTGTGTGTAGAGCGGCCTATCAGGTGGCAGGAGCTGGAGTGGAGAACAATTAGGACTTGTATCACACTCGGGTACCAAGAGCTGGAGGCAGACTGGCCCAGACGTAGCAGTGCGTGTAGCACTTGTAGCAGAAAGTGGTGAGCAGTGTCAGATTCTAAATATAATTTCAGAATTGAACCCAGACAACTTATTTAATGTGTTTAATAAACAACTGAAAGATTTACAGTGACTGTAAGGCAGTCGTAACTGGAAAAGTGTGTTATTTCAGTGCAATTCCCTTATTTCTATAATTCTTAAATAAACTGACATTAGTAGAAAGTCCTTGTTATACCAAATTCAAAAGAAATATTGTTGGTGAAAGTAATAAAATTGGTGGAAATTATCTAATGTTATAGAACAAAAGGAGAATTGCCATGTATTCATTTGACCATAACTGGTTTAAGACCAATGAGAACTTCATAAGTCTAGACCATTACAGTTATAGAAAACAAACCAATGCCTTGACTGTCTAATATAAACCACGGCCTGAGGGAGTTGTTTCATAACAGTAGTGAAATGTTAATTTCACTGGATTAGATGACAGATGTATATATTGGTTGGTTGGACTCAAATTATGTTGGTTTCAGCGAATCCTATTTACTTCATTTCAAAGTAACCTGATTTTACAGCACCATGGGTA